ACCTAAAGTATAGCCAAATTCGGACAACGAATCAGGAGTCGGTTTCACAAAAAAATTACGACTAAGAGGGGCGTAAAGAGTGGGGGGGGGGGGGGGGTGTATCTGCACGGAAGAACGTGAAATAAAATTGCCATTTCACGATGAACGAACAATTAAACATTTCTTGCACGTTGATCTTTTTACCGATTTCACGAAACACGGTGAATAACGAACCTTTTTCACGGCTGCACGTGAAATAAAAATGGCAAAACACGTTGCACGAAAATAACCCTTTACCACGAGGATAAATTGATCGTTAGTATACTGAATTGTTCACGTGGAATTGTTCATGACTTACGATCAGTCTTAGTCGTAAGTTTTTTTGTGAAACCTAGAGCTTTGCATGAGGGACATTGGGAGAGGAAGGAGTGGCTCGGGGGAGAGGTTAGACTTACTTCACTGTGTATGAAGGTATACACGCATACGGCATACACATAGACGTACCGCTAGCTATATATAACGGGTCACTTTTGATATGTCATAAATATTTCTTACAGAGGTCATATTTTACTGGGTAGTTATTATTATGTCAATAAGTCATAAATTTCCATCTATTTTGATAAGATGTCTGTTACATGTAATACTGTGCGCTGATCCTTTCAATTAATTATTGTGAAAATATCACGAGATTAACATGGTTAAATTTTATATATCTGCTGAAAATCTTATTAAGTTATAACACAATTAAAATCAAACTTTGAAATTTAATCAATATGTCGACACAGAATGTATGCGTGATAGCTGATAAATGCCGGTATGAATTGGTTATGATTTTGCCATGAAATGTATATATATGGGTCAGGATGTTCACAAAACTTCAATATATATATATGTTCCGACCATATGAGTATTTGGGCCATACGCGTATGGTCATGACCATATGCGTATACTCATATGGTACGCGCATGGTTGGACCATATGAATATATATACTAGTTTGGTTATTGTCACTATTAGGACCATATAGGTATTTTTCGAATATGCACTAGAAATGATAACCAATTATCTGTGCTCATTTAATTTACTTGTGTGCTTTTTGTTCAGCACATCAAAAAAAATCAATCAATTATGTTCAGAAAACAAAACATGATATACTTTTAAAAGGATATATCAAGATTCGATGACAGCAAATAAGAAACAAAACAAACCCGTTTTGGACAAAAATGATTATCAGAATATTTCAATGTAATTGTTTAATATTTGAATAAATGAATTTTTGAAATATAAAAATATGTTTTGGACTAAGATGATTTCTCAGAATATTTCACTGTAATTGTTTATTTTATGACTAAATGAAATTTTGAAATATAAACATAAGTTAAAAGATAAACTGTATAAGAATTATAACTCCTTTCGCTGGAACTCACAACTCGTTTTCCTAACCCAAATCTGACTTCTTTTTTTTTTTATCTTGGACGCTTTGTCTGAACCTGGTGTAACTGTCAATTTTAAACGTATTTACTTTGTTTACTTTTTCGTCCGTTTTAAAGAGTTGACTTCTTGTTTGAAAGTTCATTTATATTTTTCAGGTTATCTTCCCAAGTGGACGAATTGTCATTCTTCAGGACAAATCGATAATGACCTTTTTTTTTACTTTTTTTTTATTATCATGCTTATGCCTGGTCTTTTTTAAAAGCATATGGAATACTTGTAACATATTTGAACTTTAAAAATTCGACCAGACTTTTCTTACTTACCCTGCCGAAAAGCTATGGTCAGGTGACATTACCCATAAGTTGGTATATCATGCAGACAATGTGTTCTATGTGGGAGGTAGAAATACCGGGCGTCTCTAAGGGCAGGCATACGGCACAGTAACAAGGGGGATAATGACGTTGCTAACGTAAAAGTTTTCGCAACGTCAAACTGTGACATACGGGGAAAAGATATTTTTCCAGTGATTTTAATCATCATCTGGAAAACGAGTACACGGACCCCTTTTTTATATGACATTTGGCTTGATTATGTATGAAGATCATTTGTTCCAATTTTTATGAAGAAATCACCAATGAATGTCTTTAAAATTAGATAAATATACAACAAAAAATGCCGTTTTTTTTCTAAAATCATGAATATTTGAAAAAAAATGAATCATTTCCAAAGAACTGTTATATACAAATTAGTGCATATATTTGTAAAAAAGATATTCCAAATCTTTTTACAGAAATCCGCATGTGTTTATCTTTTGAAATACAAAAGTATTTCTATCCAAAGGACGGACACAAATGACCAAGAAACCGAAATTTTGAGTAAATGTCTAAATTTCGATCCGATCTATCTCTAAATGTAGCACATGAAGGTATATTTTTTTATTACATTTTTTAATTGACTAGGTGGAAAATAGCTTGTATGCAAATTTTCGTAAAATAAAATCACCGTGGGATCAAAACTGTATCGTATGCCCTTAAGTGCTCTCACATGTACAATTCTTGCCAGATTTTCATGAAATTTATATCACAAGTTTATATCGATAATGTCTAGGACAAGTTTGAAAATCAGTTCACAAAAGACGTCATAAACAGTCTGAAAAAGCATATGACCCTGTGCAATGCCAAAACATAGGTACTTGCTATCGGCAAATGTAGAATCATATGTTTTCTTAACTGTATACCAATTCATAATTAGGTATGTGTTCATTCATCAAAAACACATTAATGTATTAGGTCCGATACCAATAATATCCAAATATCTTACCAAGGTGTTAAATTCAAAACCTGTAAGAATAAGTTTATTCGAAGGATCAATGAGTTTACATGGATTTTATCTTAACATCACTCTTAATATAAAAATAAAGATATGAGGTATGATTGCCAATGAGACAACTATCCACCAAAGTAATAAGGTGGATGTTAGCAATTATTGGAACCATACGACCGTCAACAATGAGAAAAACCAATACCGTATAGTCGGCTATAAAAGGCCTGACATGACAAATATGAAACAATTCAATTGAGAAAACTAACGGCCTAATGTGTAACAAAACAATTAACGAAAAACAAATATGACAAACATGAACCAACGACAACTACTGAACTACAGGCTCCTGACTTGGGATTTAAGTTAATAAAAAACAAATTAAAAAATCATTTTTCATAGTTTTGTTCGAAATCGAAACTGATTGAAAAATTTGGGATTTTCGTATTCGTTTTTTCTGTCTGCACCATTTAAGTATAAGAGATGTTTGAAAAAACTACGATTTTTCACGGTGTTATGCGTATTTTGTCCTTTTTATGCGTTTTCGCCGATTTTTACGTATAGGTTTTTATAACATTTATATACATATTACACATTTTTTTATTTAGTGTAAATAGGGAATAATAAAGGCAATATTTATCACATGTTTCTATATTTAGACGGTTTAACGATTTTAAATGGGCATTGAGATGTTCTTGTCTTCAAATGCATGTAATATTTGCTTCTGGAGATTAAACACCAATCAATCGATACTAACATATTACCCAAGTACCAAGATACCAGAACGTTGTCCCTTGATATATCTGCCATTTTTTATATTGTACAAAGATACAAATTATGTTTAGGTGCCTAAATCGGTTATATTTTTAAAGGGTATTCATCATACTTTCAACTTCCATGAAATTTTGTGTGAATCTGAAATGTACATAAATATGGTGGAAAATTATCTGAGTGAATGGTCCACGTTTTATTTTCGATTTCAACCACGAAGTTAATTAATTTACCCAATTTATATTCAAAACAGTATTGCTTTTTCAATGCCGGTCATGACCCTTCAAAATTCTAACAGAATAATGAATAGGACTATAAGTTTGAAATTTGAATTAAATTTCGGAAGTCAAATTAAGGAACATAAAATCTGAACATCTGTTAAAATAGTATTGAACTTAATTGTCAGGAAAGTCCACGTACACATCGACCACAGAAGACACAAGATCGAGAGCTCACGCTAAAATGTCTCGCCTGCTTGACTGACCATGATTGATTTTATGTTGAAAGTTTGAAAGTTAAAGGTTTTACTATATATATATGTATCACGTAAACTTAACATTATCAATGATCCATGACAATTAATGAGGTAAACGCTAGATAAACCCTGTATTCATAATATAATAATCCCTAGGTCTCACATTCTGCGAATTTTATCGCCGGCGAGACAAAAAAGGTCATTACCGAAAACAAGAAATACTTGCAAGGGCTATCAGGTAAGAATCTCCCATTGGTGCGCGCTTAAGATTTATACCGCTTAACCAAGTATTTAAAAGAAATTTCATAAACAATTGAGGTAATTAAATTGCCATTCGCAATGAAAATGGTGCCGTGTGCTGTTATTAATATCTAATTCATTACTAGGGAGAAATAATCTTCTTATCTTCGCATGTACTGTACGAAGTTGGTGTTAAGGGGGCCTATACAGTTTCTTGTAAACTTTTTGTATATTTTAGTCTTTAAAAGCATGATCTATTTATTAGTTATTAGGGGGCTTTGACCTTGTTGTCAGTAACGAAAAGAGCTTTATTCCGTTAATCTGTTAAAAGTTTGTTATCGATCTGATATACTAGCAACCAGAGCCTTATAATTATACATATTTTTCTGAATATAATCAAAAATTCTAGGATTTGATATTTATACCTAAAACACAATTTAATCATTATTAATAATGCCTAAACAACAATTTGATGTCAAGAATATGAGCTTGTAAACTATTTTGTTATAAATTAGACTGAATCGAATTGTTTCATATCGAGGCCTTTCATAGCCGACTATACGGTATGGGTTTTTCTCATTGTTGAAGGTCGTACGGTTGCCTATAATTGCTTACATCCACTTTAATTGAACTTTGGTGGATAGTTGTCTCATTAGCAATCATACCCCATCCTTATTTTTATACTGATACCTTATTTCACTAAAAATAACGTGAACTGTTCCAAACATATAGCGGAATTAAGTCACAATCATTTTTATTTGATTGTTTGTTTGACTTAGAAATAACACAATAAGCAACCTACTTTTTTGTAGCTTTAAAAACTTTGATACAAATTCGTACCGAGTCTTAATAAAACATGAACATGAAAAGTACAGAGTGTCAACCATTTAACAATATTCAAAGTTCTAAATCGTCACATGCTTTATCACATTCCGGAGCATTAGACAGTGTGTAAGCCTCATACATTGTCGCCTATATAAACATTCTCCTGTACAAATTGTAACATGTTATTAAAGCACTCAAAGTGATACTTCTCAGATGCTAAATATTGTCCAATAATGTCTGTTTTGGTTTCTTTGAGTGTATAATACATGTCGTGCAAGAATTTACCATTAAACACGAAGGCAGGATTTACATTTTCTAAGGGGCAGTTCAAAAGTTGGTTCAGATATGTTGTATACAAAATACATGACTGAAATTGTGCAAATATATAAATAATATTTGGTATGTAATCCCGGTTTGTTTTAATATCTTTTCCAGCGAACTGTGTTACTGCGGAGTACAAATCCTTAAGCCTAACGGCACTGTACAAATGTTCCGAATGAAAAACATCCGCCCCTTTACCATTGGCTCCTTTTCTGCTATCAGTGTGTGAATTTCTTTGGTATAAACTATCATTGTATCGGACATCAATTTTCAACTCGGCAAATTCATTACGTTGGAATGTCGAAAACAAAAGATAGCAAATCAAAACGGATTTTAGAAAGTTAATGTTTATAGCTGGTTCAGCTACTCTTGCCCAGTAGGCCGTTATCATTAGAAATAAACGTGTTTGACAAAGTGTTCCACATATCGAATCAGATGGCATTGGACAACATAAAGCTGCAACTAGTATTTTAATTTTCAGTTCTCTTGACATATTGTGTATGTAGGGATCACTAAGAAGACCAGTAACACATATAACACCGGTTCTTTGGAACTCACATAAACTCATTCTATATCGGTCGTGTTCGGTAACACTCTGCTCTGTACCTAGCAATAAGGCGTATATAACCTTCCGAATGGACAGACTGCACTCGTGAGAGGACAATTCATGAGTACCTTCTACCTGACTTAAAAGAAAAACTCTTTTGTGGATTAAAGTATTCAATACAAAATCTGGAACTGCACCTCTTCTATGACTGTCAATAATCCACGTGGGTACATGTGATGGGGTTAGGGACCTATCTAGGCCACCAGATTCTCTTTCTTGTAGAAGATCATGAAGATTGTAGCTCGTGTAGTTGTCTGGTTCTGTAAAAACTTTAAGGGAACGGATTAACATTTCTTCTTCTCTTTTATCCCTGTCGCAAAAGTATTGCAGTTGTCTTTTCCCTCTGTCAGCATCATTATAACGACATATCCAGTACAAAACTTTTCTGATAGTTATAAAAAATGGTTCGCCTGATTCACAAGGAATTTCAAATAAATCTGAAACTTCTGTTTTGCACCTGGGAAGTCTAAAGTTATCACTGTGATAAGCATTTTGTAAAACATTGGAGTGTTTGCTTAGATAATCGTTACCAAGTGCAGTTGCTAGTAACGCCATATTATATCTTAGGTATGGAAATTTTTTCCATAAATTCTCAATAACATAAACTTTTATCTCAAATAGATGATCATCAGTGCCTCCAAATATTGAGCTTAATGGCAGTGAGTCAAAAGGTATATAACCGAAATGTACATCAAAGATGAAAAAGTCACTGTCACGTGATAAAACAGGACATTTCAAATCATTGGCTAGCCTTTGTATGTCTCTATCAGCTTCAAAATCACATTTTATGTACTGGATTCTAAGTTTGTCTAAAATATTAATAAACGTTATCTTGGCCAGAATTGGTGTACACTCTACTGGACTGTCAGTACGTTGTTGAGCCCTGCTTTTGACTGTTTCAATTTTCTTATCATCAATATCATATGCTCCATCGAAAACAACATAAGGGGTAACTCGACGGTAGAAAAGCCACCTGAAAAACATTTCTACTTTCTCAGCGTATTCACTAAAATTTCCAATGGTATCTATATCTAGGTATTGATACAGGAAATTATACAAGCAGTTACCGTCAATAACTAACTCAATGTCCTGAAAATGGCATACTTCCCAGAAGCTTGGGTTTTTCTTTGCAAGAACAATAATACTTGGAACTCCCATTCTCAATCTGAAAAAAAAGAAAAGTTAGTATTGATATGTCTTATTTTAACCACATGCGCTTGAAGCATGGACCCTTTATGTTTCTTCTTTGGTGTTTGATTTTGAGTGCATATTCTTCAATATTTCCTCTTATATTCTCTTATCTAATGTGTCTTTGCTCTTATGCATACGATATATGCCAATAAAAAAAGTTTAAAGAAATTTACAAAAATCGGGCCAATGAGATAGTAACCCAAGAACACAAAAAACCAAAAGACGTATGGAGTCCCAAGAAGAGAGGCAAAAGATACCAAATGGATATTCAAACTTGTAAGTAAAAAAAATAGCAATGCCATGGCACAAACCAAAAAAATGATCAAAAGACAAACAACAAAAGCTAAAAAAACCTTTAAACAGACTTATTAAGAAGGGATATAGTTACGATACTGTTGTCAGGTCATTAAAGATTGCATATTTTGGCTTTAATATTGATTCACTTATAGGGTCTTTGCATCGGAATTAAACATATTTATTCTAAAACCAGTTGTTGGCATGACACGGGTTATGTTCTTCTCATATATTTTATGACGGTATAATACTAAACCCCTAACAGGAGGGATTGTGCCTGATGTTCATATGATGAAGACATAATCTTTCAATCAGTTTGATTGAGGTCTGGAGCTGGCATGTCAGTAACTGCTAGTAGTCTGTTGTTATTTATGTATTATTGTCATTTTGTTTATTTTCTTTTGTTTCCTATTCTGACATCGGACTCGGACTTCTCTTAAACTGAGTTTTACTGTGCGTACTATTGTACGTTTGTTTTTTCTACATTGGCTAGAGGTATAGGAGGAGGGTTGAGATCTCAAAAAACATGTTTAACCCCGCCGCATTTTTGCGCCTGTCCCAAGTCAGGAGCCTCTGGCCTTTTTTAGTCTTGTATCATTTTTAATTTTAGTTTCTTGTGTATAATTTGGAGTTTAGTATGACGTCCATTATCACTGAACTAGTATACATATTTGTTTAGGGGCCAGCTGAAGGACGCCTCCGGGTGCGGGAGTTTCCCGCTGCATTGAAGACCCATTGGTGGACTTCGGCTGTTGTCTGCTCTATGGTCGGGTTGTTGTCTCTTTGACACATTCCATTTCCATTCTCAATTTTATTAACAATATACAAAACACAACATAGAAATCTTAAAACTGAGCAACACGGACCCCACCTAAGACCGGGGTGATCTTAGGTGCTCCGGGAGGGTAAGCAGATCCTATTCCACCTGTGGCACCCGTCGTGTTGCCCCATATAGTTTAACACAATGTTGAATAACTAACAGGGACCATCGAAGACAAGCCATCAGCAATAAGTTCTTCGAAATGGCAATTAAATGGCGTGACTTATAAGACAACCATTGACAAGATTCCTGGTTTGGAAAGGCACACAAATTATGTAGCCGGGTCAATTTTTTTTCCGATCTCAACCCTCCCCTTTTGCATCACCTTAAGTGGACCAATAAAAGAGACTTCAAACAACATTCAATAAAATCTGAAAGCACAGAAAAAAACACTTTACTCTATACTAACGATTAAAGAGATTAAAAATGCAAACATCAACATAATCAAAATAAATTAAATGATGTCCAACAGTACCCCGGCAATACATGTTTAGACTCAATAGTACCTAATATCCGATACGGAGACGGATCACCTACAGACAGAGAAAATGTGGGATTTTTTTTTATTTATTTGTTATTGGTTTGAATTTGTAGAATATAAATACACATATTACTATTTTCGATTGTGAAATGCAATATTTTCTACGCGCAAGGCAAATTGCTGAATAGTGTGAACTTTCCCTCCAAGTTATTTCTCATTAAATTGTGCACATTGTACGGAAAGAAACGTACGAAAAGAAAGATAAATACACGAAGATTGCAAGATTAACCACTTTTTGCACCTCAATTTTTGTATTTCTATGTTGTTTACAATATAAAGACCCGGTTTGTCTTTATAAAGGACCCGGTTTTGTCTTTATAAAGGACCCGGTTTTGTCTTTATAAAGGACCCGGTTTTGTTTCATTTTGAAACCATAAATCTATGAAAAGCAGCACGGATCTGAACATTTTCCGTCGAAAGAAATTTAATAAACTAGTATATGATAGTGTGTTAAATAAGACAATTTTCCTGGAAAACTTTTCTAAATAGGGAGTCCAAAAACTTAACTTGGTTATAAGATAACGATTCCCCAAGAATGTATTTACCATATTGTTAACAGTTAAAACATAGACGACAGGAAACCTGACAATTGAGGGAGCAGAAAAATCATTTCATGAACTCATCAATGAAAACTCATGTGTTGTTACAGCTTTAAACAACACCAACGTCATAATGACAAATGAACCATGCAAATGAGGTCTAAGTAAAATGAACCGTGCCAGAAAGACATGCACAATATACACAAAATATATATAGTTGACCTATTACTTGCAGCATCAGAGATACAAAATTGACTATGAAAACTTAACCTTTATTCACTGGCCCCTAAATGAGGTCAAGGGAAGTTGAATCTGTCTGACGGACAAGAAGACTTGCAATGACCCCCTATATCAAATATAGTTATCCTATCAATCATTGTAAGTGTGAAATTTACCAAACAATCTATGCAATTTTTAGGCAGTCGTTGCTCCATGAAAGTCAGTTCAATGACAATGGACATAAGACAGAAGAAACTTCGTAACATAAGGGATGTGTATGCAAGTTGTGAAGCATTCAGGCCTATCAACTTCTGAAATAGAAGGTTTATACAAATATTGTTCAAGCGCCGCCGAATTGACATCTCTTGGTCTGGCGAGAGCAAAATACCAATGTGAATTTTGATAGGAAACATGATTTTCCAATTCACAAACATCCAATTCGGAGGATGTCTGTGTTTTCTTGTTTCTTATTGAATTTAAAAGATGATATACGATATAGTTATATTATTTTAACAATAATAAACTTAACCAACGTCACCTACATGTAAAACATTTGTCAATGTACTATAATTATTACACAATGGAGAGATAAAAGATCCGTTTATTTTCCCTGTATTAATAAAAGGTTCGACATTGCATTTTCTGGAGGGGCTGGGCTGGGACTATTTTCTAACTTATACCGAGTTTAAGTAGTATGTATTTTTCTTGTTTCAATACTAAACATATGGAGATACTATATAAAAACTACAGCCTTTCCCCTTGTACTCTTATAGTTGACATTTCTGTTCTTTTAATAGAAAGGGGAATTACTACAGTGCTAGCAATCATTGTTTCCCTAAAACAAGTTTTAAAATATAGATATTAGTTAAAACAAGTGCCAATATGGACCTATTCAACTACATCTTCTAGGTTGTGCTCGAGGTTGTTTAGTTTTTTTTTGTAAACAATAAACGCTAGCATAACATAGAAAAAACAAGTGAGTAATCTATGTTTAAAATGTTGTAACGAAAATCTCTGTAATACAGTCTGTGGATTTCATGTAAAAATCTTTGCTTAATTTTCCACAAAATTCACATATTCTATTAAATGCAATGAAACAATAAATATTATTTCTATTAACGATGGAATAAGAAGATAATTATTGTGATTCTTAACGTCGAATGATAATTTATACGGGCAATTCTGCATACATATATGTTGAACATTTTATGTTCAAGATATTCATTTTCAAACTATCATAGGAAAGATTACCCTCCTCCCCCAGGTAGAGTAGAATATTTACTTCGATAAACATCATGTTGTTCTAGAAAATCACATTTCAAATCTTCGTCTTCAATTTTCGAGACTGTACATTATCCAAGTTTGAGCACTAAATATTACAGTAGTCATATCGAAAAACGTATAGAGAGCTGAGATCATCAAGTTGAGTTACATTTTGTATTTGGATTTCGTCGTTAAAGAGAGACGGAAGAAACCAAAGGGGTAGTCAAACTCATAAGTCGAAAACGAACGGACTGAAAAAACATATTAAAAAATCGATCAAAAGACAAACGACAGTCTACAAAATACAACATAGAAAAACAAAAGACTTATCAAACAAAAACCGTGGGTTATCTCAGGTGACCCGGAAGGGTAAGCAGATCCTGTTCCACAGCATGTAGCACCCGTCGTGTTAAAATTCATTTTCAAACAATGCGAATTTAAAATTATGTTTTGTTTCAGTAAATCAGGAATGCAAGTGTTTACGGATTCAAATAAAGAATAAGTTGTCTCTTTATAGAAACCGTTTTTCCAACAAGCCTTTAATCGCCTGTTGAACGTCAGATTTTAATTCATATAATACTAGTATCATTATTTTCAATGACGAAACCGGGTCCTGTTTTGGGGAATTTAAAGACGACTTCGGGTCATACACATTTACAAAACCGGGTCCTCCCATTTTGACACGATCCATTTCTTTCGTTTCATGCATAGAAATACATTTATTGAGGTGCTCAAAGTGGCCAATCCTGCAATCTCCATGTATAGATCTTTCTTTCTGTACGTTTCTTTCCGTACAACGTGCACAATTAAAAGAGAAATTAAACAAATTCCAGGTAAGGTTCACTTCTTCTCATCATTTTGAAGTGTATTTTTATTTATTTTTCCATTAATCTAGAACGGTTGTAGAAAATATTACATCTCACAATCGAAAATTGTTATATGTGTATTTATGTTCTTCAATTTCACACAAAAACAAATAGATAAAAAGAAATCTCACCTTTTCTTTGTCTGTAGGTGAAAAACAAACAAATATAACCTGATGGAATTACTTTACTGTGGGTCACTGTCCAAATAAACCTGATGGAATTACTTTATTGTATGACACTGTCCAAATAAAGCCTTGTTAGTGACGTTGACGAAGTTGCCTCCATGGAGTTTTATTTATGACGTCCATCATCTTCTCATACTTGTTTAACTGTTGTTGCTATATTAAAAAAAAGCATAGGAGATCCGTCTCTCCT